AGAATAGAGCTCATTTACATATATCAGCCTTAAAAGGCCTATATTAGGAACACTACATTTCCCCTGCTTTTTTTTTTAATAAAGAGTTTGATATATGGAAACTAAGCTGTGAAAACAGCCTGTTTGAATTCATTGTGTTTGTAAACACATTTACATATATCTGCCTACTCAGCCTATAGTACTGTAGGCCCACCCATTCATACTGAAGTTATAAGCAATGTTTCCGCCTTTAACTGAGGTACAATACAGGGCAGCCAGTCAGAAGAGGGCTCCTTTGCATATATCAGTAAGAATTTTCCTTCCATTTTGTATATGATTGACTATATTTGGGTTTAGAAGGCGTAATTGGTTTTGGTCCAAAGCACCACTTTAACAAATGATAATTATTTTTTCCAACTTATAAATGACTCACTTTCTCTGTAATTCACATCACCACTGCAGGCTTGCTGTGGCTGTGTACACCAGTCTGTGGAGCTCTGGTGGGCTGCCATGCATCTGTCAGAGGGGGTTTCTTTTCCTCCAGCGGCCGGCTTCAATGCCCGGAGAGCGGGTCAGGAAACATGACCGCAGAGCTGCTCAGATCGACCTGTCAGAGTCCATTTACTAAAGACATGGAGCCCTGAGACCCTCACCCCCCAGCCCCTCAGTGTTGAGTTACACATACTCCAATCACCAGCCCACTTCCAGCAGTCCAGAACCTCATGAATGAACGGCTATGAATAAAAGAGAACGGCAGGGCGGCTGTTTTTCTCATTCAACAGTTCTAATCCAATTGATGTCAAGTACGGCACTGTGCAAAAGTCAGAGACCCTGTATTTAGTTTTTAATTTCCAGTCAAAACAGCCACTAAATACAAGATATTTATTTTTCATCGTCAGGAAATAAAAGCAGAAAATTACAGAAAATGACACAGAAGCCTCAGTAGTTAAATATAATATCAAATGTTTCAGTACTGAGTCCATCCTTTACCTTTATTACAGCTTCTGTCCTTTCAGGACATTGAGATGCAATATGAGTCTTAAAACTAGAGCTATACCACCTTTACGGGGCAGCAGTGAGTAATGTTTGTTTATTTGAGCTCAAACTGCATCTGTGGTCAGTTGGGAGCAACTAAACATAGAACAAAGTACTTGCTATGTTTAGTTGTGTTTAGCTGTGTTTAGTTATTTGTCCTTTATGAGCTGCAATGAACAAAAAAGACAAATGAATTGTTAATTGCAATTATTCGTATGCCAAATTTCATGGTTGGGACAGGCCTAATATAGCATATTTACATTTTTTTTCATTTTTATTCCAGCTGCCTTTTGGATTGTAAACATTTCATGAGTAATGCACCAATAGGAATAGTCCAAAATGACTTCAAAGCCTTGTGATATCAACATACAATAAAGATCATTTGAAGAACCATTTTAATGCTCGAATAGTTCTTCACATAGTCTAAACTCCGCGGTCACCAACGCTGGTTCTAGAGATCTGCCTTCCTGCGGAGTCTAGTTCCCACCACAATCTTCCACCCCTGCTCCAGCTAATTAACTCCTTCAGAAGTCTTTGATTGGCCGGATCAGAAGGGTTAGTGTTAAGTAAAGGTGGATCAGCATGTTAAATACAGGCACTAAACTCTGCAGGAAAGTAGGAGGAATGGTGGTGAACACTGTGGTTCTTCTCCAGGATGGAGAACCTGTTGTTTAAGGTCCTTTAAAGCAGTGTTTCTCAGTCCTGGTCCTGGAGGCTTTACCATTTTCCCTGCTTTCAATACACCTGATCCAACTATTAAGCTCATTAACAGCCCATTATTGGGTTAAAGTGGGTGTGTTAAAGCAGGAAAAGCACTTAAATGTGCCGGACAGTGTGACCAGGGTTCAGAAACACTGCTAAAAAGAACCTAAAGGTGGTTCAGTATAACAAAACCGCATCATTTTAAAGATCTGAGGTGTTGGTACGAGAACTATGACTAATATGTTTGTTTGTGTGCATGTCCCAATATTAAAATACACAAAATAAAGTCTATTATTTTGCTTTTCTGAAGCATATATGGCTGATAGCATGGCCCAGGGACTGCAATGGAATACTGCCAGTTGGCTAACGCCTGATGTAGCTTTGGGTTAATTCACACGCATTGTCCCTGATACAGAAAAATAAATAAATAAATATATAAATAAATAAATAAGGTCACAGGCTGCTGGAATCTCTCAAGTGAACATTCATTTACTGTGTTAGAACCTGGCACTTTCCCCAGGGACAGATATACATCCAGTAAAAGACGTGCTCTCACACGAAATAAAAAGAAAAAGAGTGTGTGTGGCGCGGTTGAAGATTACGTCCATGTTTACATAAGTTAATCATGTGAAATGAGGTCCTTTTAGGTCCTACATTGTGACCAGAAGGCCGACCTTTTCTCTAAGAACCTTTTTCTTTCTCTCACCGCGTGATGTCACTGCCTTTGGAGGTGCTGTCATCACCCTTCGTGTCCTGAAAGATAAGACACAATACTTTAGCACGAAAATAGAGGACACCGAACAACAACAGTACAAATCGGCTGCGGTAAACAACTGGATGATGTCATACGCTTCACTTTTCACTGCCCAGTGCGGCCAAAGACAATAACAGTCTTGTCTGTGTGTTTTACGTAACACATCTCCCGTTATGTAAATCTCACTGGAGGTATATGTCTTGAGACATATGTCATTGAAATGCAATATTAAAACATAAACACAGACTCATGGTTGTTCCAAGGACCATGCAAAGAAAAGAAAAAAAGGCTTTCCCGAGAGAGGAAGGCCAATAAAAATTCCAGTCAGAGCGAAAAGGGAAAAAATCCCTCTACACTAAACACAACTGCATCATTATCTACAGGCTATTTTATTCCATGTCATGGAAATCGACAATGTTTTTAACATATTAGAATATATTAAAAACATTATTCTATCCTAATATATTCAGATTTTTTTAGACTAACATTAAATTGATTTAAACTGAATTACCTACAGGCTATTTTATAGCATGATATGTAAGTAGACATCTTTTTTTTTTAAATAAATTACAAGTATAACATTATGATTAATATTAAAATTGCTTAAAACATTATCATGGTCTTGGCTTTAAATATAATACAATCAGATCAATATCAAAATGTTAAAAGGCTTCATTTATATCATAATATGCTTCCATTAATATTATTTATTTTTTTATTTAGGAAATGATTGCCGCAAGCGAAATGTGCTGTTATAGAACTTATTATAATTAAAATTAAGCAGGGTTTAAAAACGTAATCCAAATGTCTTCAGTGCACTTGATTTTAGTCAATGTCATTTTAATCTACTCACTGCAAACAAACTATAAAAAAGCAAGACATGCTGATGAATGTCATTTTCAAAATGCTTAATAAATAAATGCTAGAGAAGAATTAAATAAAGAAATAGCATAAAACAAAAATAAGCCAGCCCAAGTACTGCTCTTCATTTGATCATTTAAAGTGGCTGAAATTATAAAATCAAGAGCACACAAAAATATTTTAAGAGGCTCTTCATAATCAAATGTCTTTTAGCCTAATTCAAAATAAGAGTCTTAAATTAAATGAGTAAAACTGGATGAATGTGTCATTTAGAGTATCTCAAAAGTGGACAACCTTACAAAAAGGCCTCACAGTGTTCCTACTGAAAATGTGATGGTAATACCTGCAAGGATATTTCTGCAGGAATTATAATCCTACAGTGACCATTTTCCTGTGGGAATCAACTGTCACGGAAATTCCTAGATTTTTCCTTCACACTTTCCTGCAGGTCACTTTGGAAAAAAAAAATCTGATTGCTGAGAATACCTGCGTGTAATTCTTCTGGATGATTCTTCTTCAGTGCTCAAATTTCTGAAGGAATTCCTGGATTAGCTGGACTAAGACAACAGAAGAATAAATGCTTAACATATATTTTAACATTTAATATATATTTTAACATTAAATGTATTTGTTCACATACATTGCTGAATCCACATTCACTACTGTGTTCAGGCAAAACAAGCATTTTTTTGTGCTCACCAAAAAGTAATTATGCAATATTTTAAAATGATTTAGAATTTAACTTTGTTTGGTATTATTTTAGGGATCCTGCAGGTGTATTTGGACTCTTACCTGCAGGTTTCATTCATGCTGAAATTCCTACAGGCCTTTTTTGTAAGGATTGAACGAAATTGAGCTAAAAACATCTGAGCTCCTTTTCTGAGCACTAAGCTAACTCAGGTGCTGAGCTGTGCTCCTCAGATGGCACCAGTTAATCCTGATGGCCTTCAGAGTTTTAGTTAAAGCAGCTGGAGAGAGATTTAAAAAGGGCTAAACAGCTCAGAGCTCGCCTTTACATTCAGCCATTCGGGCTCATTTTAGCTGCAAATTATTTATCAGTTATTTAACTCCTACCCGAAATCTAAATAAGTGAGAAATTGAATAAATTTACATTTTAAAATAGCCACATGGCGTTTCTCCAACGGAGCTCAAGTTAGCTTCCTATTATGGTTTTCCCGTTCCACCTTAAATGGTGCAGCAGTAACGGGAAAGTTCGAGGCACCAAAATGTAATTGCGCCATTTAAGGTGGAACGGGGAAAAATTTCGAAGCGCCAGAATGTAACTGCTGCACCATTTAAGGTGGACCGGGAAATTTCTGCGGCGCCAGAATGAAACTGCTGCACCATTTAAGGTGGAACGGGAAATTCGAGGCGCCCCTGCTGCATCATTTAAGGTGGAACGGAAAATTCGAGACGCCAGAATGTAATTGCTGCACCATTTAAGGTGGAACGGAAAAATTCGAGGCGCCAGGATGTAATTGCCGCACCACTTAAGGTGGAACGGGAAAATTCGAACAAGAAAGCTGGCGAATAGCAAGCCAACTTCAGCCTCGTGTGTCTCCATACGCTGCTCACCTTAGGAGGTTTGGTTTGGTTTAGCAGGCGAGGAGGAGCGCTGCGACCAAAACGCCAAGAAAAAAAACACCCCAAGCAAAAGTTCCTCCCTCACTGAGAGACGCCGGTTTGCAGAGTTTGGCATTAAAGTCCGGATTTACACCGCAGTGCTGCTGCTGCTCAGCCTGAGTTTGGACACTCATGTACTGGAGAGATGAACAAACGGTGGAAGAGCTCAAAACGGCCACCAAAAACACAGTAAGTGGGGAAAGTGCGGCCTGAAAGGAGACTCTGAACTGTCCTTACGCTTTTAAACCTGCCCTGTTTGGCGTGCATTTCAAATGTGCATGGTGCAAACTGCCTTTACCACTTCTTAAAATTTAGTTTTAATTTTGCAGTTGGTGCATGGTAGAAAATAGAGGTAGAAAGGTTTGGGCTCTGAATTGCACATTTACAATTTACAATAAAAGTAGTAAATTATTTTTAATAAAGTTGAAAAATCAATGTTGTTGGTTTGCGAGGAGCATGCGGCTCATTTCATGTTCAAACTGCAGGGAAGCTTCCATATTAGCCCTCAGTCATTTTGCATTGCAAGAAACTCAGAAAATATTTAATATGGATTTTCTGTGGGGGGAAAGCAACAAAACAGGGTGAGCACGACCGCATAGCTGTTTAACAGTTTAATAAATTTAACTACAAAATTGTAAATTATTTTCCTGACATTTAAAAAAAGACAGGTTAAATGCAACTGCTTGTGAAAGGGAGAATTCCACCAATTTTTCAAAAGATTCTACACAATTAAATGGCTGATATGATTTATATAAATAATCATGCAGAGCGGTTTGGTGTGAACTGGTTCATTTAGACTCAGATTTCTTTACAGTGGTGGTGATTATGATATGTACCGAAATGTCTACAACACAAATATAGCCATTTTATTTGGTATCCCAAACCACTACGTGTCTTCTGAGTTCAACGTTGATGGTAAAATGGTGGAAATTCTGAAAAAGGAAAAAAAAAAATTTTTATTATTTTTATTTATTTTTATTTATTCTTTTTGTGATTAAACTAATTTTTAGGCCAAAACCTTTACATGTAAACTTTCTATGAGGGAGTTTTTTATTTTATTATTTTTTTAAAGAGGTGGACGTCTGGTTCCTATCACCACCACTGTGAACAACTCTGATTCTATATTGCACTTCGCACCAAACCACCCTGCCGAATTTTTAAAAAATTGGTGGAGTTCCCCTTTAAGGATTAATTTAGCATAATATAGGCTAAGGGAGAAAAAAAGGCAGCAAATCGCAGTGAAGTTTTGCATATTCGAGTAATCCATGAGTTTGATCAGTTTTCAGTTTTGCAGATTGCACCGCGTGCCGTGCAATTGACCAGCAATTTCGTCCACAAAGGAAAAAAAAGAAGGAAGGAAAGAAAAGAAGGAAGGAGGGTGGCCGTTTATCTGAAGAGGCGTCTCTGTGTGTGTTTTCATAATTCGGGGTTTGTGCGCTCGTGTAAGGCCATCAGTACTTGTCCGGGTTGTCATGGTGAAGAGGAGGCAGAGTGGATGTTAATGGGCTGCAGAGGTTAAAAGGGCTGCGGGCTCGCGCACTCGCAGCGCCTCGTCCTCGCCGTTCATGCCGCAGAGCTGCCCCCGCGCTCCGCTCCACACACGCCCAGCAGACCGGCCGGTACGCGCCTCCGAACCGCTCCAGCGGCTCCGCTGCTGCACATGGACTTCTGTTTTGTGGAAATGGGGAGTTTGGAAGGAGGGAATTAGCGAGTACCGGCACTGTGTGCAGCCCGCACACTGTCTACGGATATACTTTCGCCATTCATGCCTTTCTTTTCTGTTTTTTTTTGTCTTTCTTCAGGGCTCAACTCAAGACCTCTTTGAAGAAGTGTCGTGCTCTTCTTCCTCCTGCTTGTCTCCCACTGCTGCTTCACCACATGCCATGACCGAGAAAGCCATCTGCACCAGCTGTGGGACTGAAATAGTGGACAAATACCTGCTCAAGGTGACCCAAATACGCCAGTTAGAGTTTAAAATGCGACTTTATTGACCTTTTTTCCACACAAATATGTCTAACTTGCTCAGCTTGGCGTGCTAAGCTTAGCATGGTGACTGAAAACTGCGTGTAAATGAACGTAAACTTGTCTGAATCTGCTAGTCCGCGTTGCTGTGAGGGATTTTTATTTATTTTATTTTCCTTTTTTTTTGCCACTCTTTGTTATAAAATGCACTATCATTTTATCTTGTTTTTCTTTTCTTTTTTTTTTTTTCTCCCCCTACCTGTTCAGGTAAACGACATGTGCTGGCACGTGAGGTGCCTCTCGTGCAGCGTGTGTCAGACCTCGCTGGGCAGACACATCAGCTGCTACATTAAAGAGAAGGAGATTTTCTGCAAACTCGACTACTTCAGGTACATTTGTGGAGATTTCTTGTCTTTAAAGAGGAGTTCCATCGAATTTTCATAATTTGTGCATGAGATGTAAACAAAAGTCGCTCGGAGCGGTTTGGTGTGAAACGGTCCGTTCTAGAGAAGCTTAGAAGTGTTCACAGTGGTGATGGGAACCAGACGTCTGCAGCATGTAAGCTATTTCACAGAAGCTTATTACATAAACTGGTTATGAATATGCTGCCTGATGCTTAATGCATTGTTTTTACAATTGTTTTGAAGTCAGGTTTTGGCCTTAAACAAATGTTTAAAAATCTGTTTATGGCAGAGGAGTACATGCAGCGTGTTGTACGGTGAAATAGTCCTAAATGAAAACTTATTTCTGATTTACTTCCATTTCACCGTAATCAGTGCTTTTTGGATCATAAATAAAATGGCTATATTTGTGTTCTAGACATCTGACTGCTGGTTCCAGTCACCACCGCTGTACAGAAACGAGTTGGCAGTTTTCTCTAGAACTAAGCGTTTGTCATCACTCTGAATGACTTTGTTTACAAGTCAACAGTTGAATTGTGCCAATTTGAAAAAGGGGAATTTCACCAATTTAAGTTGTCTGCTATTTGAATATTTTTAGGCTTGTGTGGCTCATACAGGGCTTCTTTTTTAATGCTTTGTGCACATTTATGACTCTGAACTCTTCATATTTAAGAAATGATGCTGTTTTCTGATGGTGTGTTTAGTGGAGGTGCCCTGAAGTCTGTCAGTTTGGTTCTTTTATTCTTTCGTTTATTTAAAATGACAAATGTGGACACCTATACATGGTCTGGTGTAGGGTTGTCAAGATACAAGTTTGATTTTTGATGCTGAAGACAGGACAGTGGGAACAGTTTCATCACTCACTGTCTGACCACCAAATATTGCATTGGGAATTTTTTTTTCTATTTTTATCAATACAAAGCTCTTCAAATGCAGGTGAATTGGTGGTAACCTGGCACAAGCTTAGTAAAATAAATTAATAAAAGTGAAAGAGCATTGAGTTGTCACATTGCTGTACTGAAAGTATGACAATTTCAATGCTTTGTGCAGCTCTAGTCTCTAATTCTGTGCTGAAGAGGCCATGCTGACTCTCTTCACACACTGTCTGCTATTTTCACTCATGTTTGAAAGCTGAGCGTTGTGCTTAACTTTTTCTTTTAAGGAAATATGGAACTCGTTGTGCTCACTGCGGCAGGAATATCCATTCGAACGACTGGGTCCGTAGAGCCAAAGGAAATACCTACCACTTGGCTTGTTTCGCCTGCTTCTCCTGCAAGCGGCAGCTTTCTACAGGAGAGGAGTTTGCCCTGGTGGACGAGCGGGTGCTGTGCCGCGTCCATTATGACTGCATGCTGGACAACCTCAAACGGGCCATGGAGACTGGTTAGGAACTCATTGGATCTTGCAGAGTCTGGAGTGTCTTTAAAAAGCTGTTTGCTGGCTCTACATGGGCCTATTTGTTGCTGTTTGCTGGCCTTTGGAGTCATTCCTCACCAAATGTGTGTTGTCTGTGGTGCCTCATAGGAAAAGGAGTGAATGTAGAAGGAGCCGTGCCGTCAGAACAGGAGGTAAACCAGCCCAAGCCGGCCAAAAGAGCACGAACAAGCTTCACTGCTGACCAGCTACAGGTCAGTTCAGAGTGCTGGTGTGCATATGACCTCACACTTCAACTGTATACTAGACTATAACTATAAAAATCATGATAACAAATCTATATTTGGCAAATATTGATGTAAAAGGATTGTTTTTGCTTGGTGTTGCTGTCGCATAAAACCAAAAAAACCAACTCTGCAACAGACTAAGACCAAGATAAATGTAGCATGAGCTGTTTGCATAGTTTTAATAGATACATGAATAATTATGTACAGTTGCATGTAAAATAGGATGTGGAAGGAAAGGTTTTTTTATTTAATAGATGTTTTAAGTAGTTACATTATAAACCTGTGGTAAACACAAATCTGAGACCTTCAGCTGTATGAGTATGTACAGCTGAAGAACTGCAGATTATTATTATTATTATTATTATTATTATTTTCAAATTTTAAGACCTTTATAGTTAATAAATGATACAAGCGTCCTTCTGTAAAAGCAGTTTCTAACTGAAATGCTGCCTTTTATCTTGCAAATGCAAAAACATTGCTGCACCTACAGATTTTTCAGGTAGTTGACCCTTAGTTCAGAGATTGTCATCTTTTGAAATAGTTTCGGATTAGCTGCCTCCCCTCAAACAGGATGGATTGGATGTCTACAGTTGCGCATGGAATATTTGAGCTTTCTAATGCATGAATGCTTATTTCTGTCCGACTATGAGCTGAATCTGTAACATGTACGTTGGTTTTGTAGGTAATGCAGGCTCAGTTTGCTCAGGACAACAATCCGGATGCTCAGACACTGCAGAAACTGGCCGAGAGGACCGGCCTCAGCCGCAGAGTTATTCAGGTGAGGCGCAATCTGTGTGGGGTTTTAAATTCATGAACTAAATTTTGGAAGATCTTAATCTGTGATTTACTTTCCATTAACTAAAGCTATTGGGGTTATTTCAGTGACATGCAATTGCAATCTCAGTGGTTGGCTTTGCTGTATTTTGTGTGAAACTGTCATTCTTCAGTTTGGATTCACTTTATGTAACTTATGTTGAAAATGCATGCTTATTTGAGGTGTGTATGTATGTGTGTGTGTGTGTGTGTGTGTGTGTGTGTATATATATATATATGTGTGTATATATATATATATATATATATATATATATATATATATATATATATATATATATATATATATATATATATACACACACACACACTACACTAAGTTAGCTATTTCTTTAGTCTGTAGTCCTGTTTGTATAGGACTGATGTTACATGGGGAGGTGCGGAGTGTTTTTACCAGCATTTCTTAGTGATTTTCATACCTGTCAGTGTGCCGTCAGTTAATTTTAACGACTGTGTGCTCCTGCATAAGTCACGATTCCGCTGCCTTATATCTTCTATAAAACAAGCTGTGGGAAAGGAGAGGCACTCAGAAGCTTTTACTTGTGTTCTCTGTGTAACGTTAGGGTCCTCGCTCAAGCGTACAACTTGGAACATGTAAAAAAAGACAGGCACTTGATTTTATGTGGTGATTTTGACTGTTAGCTGTAAATTCCCAAGCTAATGAGTGATGCTGATGACACAGTGAGTCGCTTAAGACAGCAATACAGATTGTTTGGGCAAATGAAATGACAGCTAAATTAAACGTTTTAATGTTTTATACTCTGCTGGAGTAAAAGAGGTGCGTAGATAGAGTTGCCACTCCCATGTGTCATTTATACTGAGATTCCTTATGCCATGCAAATTGGTCACGGACATCCTGTGGTAAACTGGCATTACCCACCTCCCCATGGAAAACTAATCCTGGTCCAATAAGGCTTATGATGCTGAAATCACTTTACTGATCCCTCAGGAAAAACTACACAGCGCACATCACATTGTGAGTGAGTGCTGTTTCAGGATAGATGTGTGTGTCTTATCAAGACAAAACTTCATCTTAATTGTCAGTGTTATTTTTTTAATATATTCCAAAAATACCAGATGCACTTTACATTGTGGAGTTAATAATAAACAGACTAATAGAAATGGTTTGAATTTGCTTGGAATAAAACATTTACTTTACCGTCCATTAAAAGCTAAAAAGGTGTGTGGTGGCATTTTTAATTTTAATAAAAATTTTTTGAGTCACATTTTGGAGACTCAAGGTTTTGTTTTGACAGTGGTGATATGTAATGAGCACCTGTAGTGGTACAGTTCTGTTTTAACTTGTAAAGTCATACAGACAATAATAAACATATGAGTAACAGAAGTTCTACAGTAAACAGTATGGATATATAAGCAGAGTTTAAATGTATAATATAATTAGATGAAAATCCATAAGTCACTGTAAAGCAGGTGAGTCTGGTTTGCACCTGTATGCTTTCATCTTTTCTAACCTTTTAACCCTAAATCTGTTTATTTCTTCTGATGGTTTGCTGTAACTGTTGTTGTTGAACCATTGTAAAATAAAATAAATTGATCTTGTTTTGTGCTTCTGGTCTCCAGGTTTGGTTCCAGAACTGCCGGGCCCGTCATAAGAAACATGTGAGTCCCAACCACTCGTCCACTGCTCCGGTCTCATCTCTGCAGCCTAGCAGGCTCTCCCCTCCTCTGATGGAGGAGCTGCAGTACACAGCATTCGCCCCAGTGGACGCTCCAATGCTCACAACTCTGCACTCTTACATGGATGGTAAGGTTTGCTCTTGGAGGGCTACAACTGACAAAGCGCGATTGTTCAAGTTAGCTGGATAACTTGAACAAAAAATGAAGCCTGTCCAGTAGAAAGGAAAGTATAAGACATTCCTTATTGGACCACCTTCATTTTGGGCTCAAGTTAGCAATCTTTACAAAGATCATGCTTTGTTAAACACCACCTTGCTCGGTCATGTTTGGTTTGGGTTTTGGTTTGTGCCCTTACCATGCATTCATATGCAAATTGTGCATATGAATGTACTAACATGGCTTGTATGACATTTTCTGCTTCTACTTCTATCTATTATTAATCTTCTGCTAGTGCGCGGTTTCTATTTAACACAGAAAATATGCCACAACTTCTGCACAGGCCAACTGCCCTTCTCTGTAGATGCTGTTGGCTCGTTTGCACTTAATCAACAAAACATGTAATTTGACATGTGGTGCCCAAACTTGCATACGGCTGTATTTGATCTTGTAGTGTTCTGCTACTAAAGTTAGGGTCCATCTATTTGGATGATGGTCTACGGTGAAGTCTATATCTCGCTGCTGTTGGGGGGGAAAAAACCTTGTATCTCCATTTTTGTCATTTCAGTTTTTGACATCATTTGAAAAGGCCTGTTGTCCTTTACATTGTATGTAAATTTCATGAAAAATGAACTAAAAGAAACAGCCCAAAATGACTTGGGGGGGAGGTGGGGGGGTGGGAGTCTGGTTCCATTGACTTGCATTAAAAGTAAAGTGTTTTTTCTTTTCTTGTAAAGTTATCATTTGAGATATAAGGTTTCGTTCCGACGACAGCGATATATAGCTGCTGTCGGCACAAAACCTTGTATCTCCAAAAAGGTAACTACAAGAAAAGGGAAAAACGCTCTTAACTTTTAATGTTAGTAAATGGAGAAATATATTTTTCCAAGTAATTTTGGGCCATTTCTGTTGGTCCGTTCACAGCAAAATTTTGGCACAACCTAAAGGGCTACTGCCTTTTTCAAACTAGGTCAAAAAATGAAAAACGACAAAAATAGAGATGCAAGGTTTTGTCCTGACAGCAGTGATATATTGTTTATCACAACAATGAGAAGGTGCACGCTCTGAGTACACACATTCTACAGAAAAGGCTGGATATCAACAGGCCACGATACACCTAGATAAAACGTCTGTAGACAGTCACTGTATTACTAAGGTACTTTCAGATTTAAATTTTTCACATTTTTATAGTTCTTATGTTGTATAAACCTTCATTCTGCTGCTATCGTGATTCACATTTGGTCTGCAGCCGTGACAGCGGAACTCTGATTGGTCAATTAAATTACAGCTGTACAAAGCGGGAGATTGAATTCAGCATCACTGTTCGTTCGTTTCAGACTTGATGAAAGGCGGCATTGATGTGTGCATTTGCAAAGCACGACAGTTTTTTAAAATTTTATTTTTATTTTTTGCCTATTTTTAAATATCTAACAACTTAGTTTTGTTTATCTGAATTTTTTGCTGCTTACAGTACGTGTCCAACATACATTTTAAATCTGTCAGGCACTGTAAGTCTTGCTGTACTGTTTTGTGTCCTGTGGTTTTTGAACTAGAACTGGATCATTAATGAAGCTTTAAAGTCTTAAGATCTTAAGTATATTAAAAACAATTTCTGTCTCTCTTTAATCTCCATGCTTTTTGTTTTGCAGTTCATTCTCCGACATCGCTGGTGTTCCAGCCTCTCCTGCCCCATTCAATGACACAGTTGCCAATCAGCCATGCCTGAGACACAAACCCCACCCACTGCAGCCACTCTACCAATCAGGTTAGAGTACAGAGGAAAGCGTGACGGAAGTTTTCATCTGCTATTGACTGAGTCTTGCACCAAGACCCATAATATTCTGTCTTTTCATGGGCACATACTGAAGGATGTCTATCTCGCAATGGTCCAAGAAAAAGATTTTGATGTAATTGTGAAAAGGCTGAAGTTTTTTTTTGTTTAATATATATATAATATCTATATAATAGTTGAATACATCACATTTAATTTATTTGTTGTATGTGACTGAGCACTTTGTTTTAAAATAAATTTATGATGGAAGTTTTTTTTTGTTTTTTTTTGTTTTTTGTTTTTTTTTCCTGGGTTTTGTCAGTGCACAGCTTCATTTTTGTTTTGTGGATGGATCTCAACACTTGGAAGCTGAAGAAAAGCCAATAAAAACATAATTGCTGATGCCTACAGGGCTGTGTTGAGTAACTGCTCCATTTCATTGTGCAAGTGAACCTTTTTTGGCTGTGTCTGGTGGGAGATTCATTTAAATTCATGCTGGGTTTGATAAACTAGTTTAAACGCTGGATACGTGTTCACAAATGTCTTTGCGTAATAGAAAGATTGTTTATTAAATTGCTATTGAGGGCTGAACACAAATGGTCTAGTGTGAGAGGAGTGTCAGTCTGTTGGAGTTCATGTTCGCTCTTGTAGCAGCAGGTTAACATGCTGTATTGATGCTCACTTAGCTGTAACTTATTACAAGAGCTGTTAAGTTATTTGCGGGTGCCAATTACAAGTTAGCAGTGATGAGTTTTGACTGGAAATTGTTAACTTTAAAACTGATAGCAGACAAAAGAGGGTGTTGAATGCAGTCAAATTAAAGGGGAATTGTTTTTCCCGCTATTTTTCAAAGTTTCTGCAGAATAGTCACCGAGATGTAAACAGTGATTCAGAGTGGTTTGATGAGGAGTAGTTAGGATATTGGATGAGGATAGTTAATAGTAGAGACTCAGATTTCTTTACAGTGGTGGTGATAGGAACCAGGGGTCGCCATGACTACAACACAAATATAGACTATTTACTATCCAAAACCACCAGCAAACCTACAGATGACTTCAGAGCTTTTATGTGGAATGTTGATGGTAAAATAGTCATGAATTCCATCTCAACGATTATAACTATTTTGTGTAATAACTTTGTGAGGGAGCTTTAAAAGTCATTAGATGTTGTCTGGTTCCGATCACCACCACAGTGACTTAAGTTTGTCTTGAGGGGAGAATTTAACATCAAACCACCCTGAATGATTCTGTTTACATCTCAGCAACTTAATTGTGCAGAGGCATAACATTATGACCACCTCCTTGTTTCTACGCTCATTGTCCATTTTATCAGCTCCACTTACTATATAGGTGCACTTTGTAGTTCTACAGTTACAGACTGTAGTCCATCTGTTTCTCTGCATACTTTGTTAGCCCCCTTTTACCCTGTTCTTCAGTGGTCAGGACCCCCATGGACCCTCACAGAGCAGGTACTATTTGGGTGGTGGATCATTCTCAGCACTGCAGTAACACTGACGTGGTGGTGGTGTGTTAGTGTGTGTTGCGCTGGTCTGAGTGGATCAGACACAGCAGTGCTGCTGGAGTTTTTAAACACTGACCACTCACTGTCCACTCTATTAGACACTCCTACCTTGTCAGTCCACCTTGTAGATGTAAAGTCAGAGACGATAGCTCATCTGCTGCTGCACAGTTTGTGTTGGTCTTCCTCTAGTCCTTCATCAGTGGTCACCGGACGCTGCCCACAGGACACTGTTGTCTTGATATTTTTGGTTTGTGGACTATTCTCAGTCCAGCAGTGACACTGAGGTGTTCAAAAACTCCAGCAGCACTGCTGTGTCTGATCCACTCAGACCAGCGCAACACACATTAACACACCACCACCACGTCAGTGTTACTGCAGTGCTGAGAATGATCCACCACCCAACAAAGTATACAGAGAAACAGATGGACTACAGTCTGTAATTGTAGAACTACAAAGTGCACCTATATAGTAAGTGGAGCTGGTTAAATGGACAATGAGCGTAGAAACAAGGGCATAATGTTATGCCTGATCGGTGTATGGTGGAATTCCCCTGCAGGACAGCATCAGCTTTTGGTGTTCTTTCCATTTCATGTGAATGCAGTGCTCAGATGAAGTGTTTTGAGGTTTACAGTAGGATATTAGATGGTAAAGTCAGATACATGTCCTGAAAGTGCTGCTGCTGGCAGGTTTGTTGATTTGCTGGGTGCTTTTTTTTTAACTGCTGGCGCCCTCTAGTGTCTGGTGTGAATGGTTTGGTTTATTTGCCCCTCGGCCTGCGGCGTTTCCTCAGGATCCTCCTCAGTGAGCTGCTTGTGTAAAACGGCCGAGCCGCTGAGCCGTCATTCTTCTCCAGGTCCAAAGCTACAGAAACCAGAAACAAGTGGCAGTTTAGGTCCTTTTTTTAAATGCTTTAAATCTGTTAATGGAGCCGCTTCTAAAAAGTCTGTGAACTGGCTGAGCAGTTTCCATTAGAAACACTGCAGCTCACTATTCTTGTTGCCTTTAAGTTTCAGTTGTGTGAACTGTTATTATCTAAATATGTCAATTATGTTTGCAAAATACCAAGTTTGATAGTGTTTTGCAATTTGATAAATTTTCAATTCCAATTTTAATAGGCATCAAAATGTGAAGTTGCTGTATGTTGTCTCATACTGGTCAGTTTACATATTGGTTTGTGCACATTCTCTTTTGCAGAACCACAAAATAGAAGAATACACTGTATTGCTCCTTTCAGCATTTACCAACCTGAAAGTCAAAAGCAAACGCTGCCAAAAACTGTTAAATCTACTTAAACTAGTCAGTTTCACTGAAATTACTGTTAGAATATAAAAAAAACATTCAATTTACTTCTCTTTTTTTACTTGTTTTAAAGGGCCCATATCACAGATCACCACTGTTTCACTAGCTCTATGTCTGAACATCAACAGCCAGTTTTTAATTCATTATTTTTGTGATGTCACAAAGACCAACTTCTTTAGATACAGTATATCCACCTATTCAGCCTACAGCAGTTTAGCCCTGCCCACTCACACTGAGGTCATTAGGAGGGTTTCTGTACAGGACAGACCTCATTAACATGCATCAGTCTTCAAGGCACATTAACAAAAACTGCCAGAGAGGTAAAAAAAAAAAAATAATTTAAATAAATTATGACTATTTTTGGTCCATAAAACCACAAAAGCATTATTTAGGGAAAAAATAAAATCTGAAAAAAATCTCAGATTTGGGCCCTTTGAGTTTTACCTGGAAAAAGTTTTTACTTGTTTTGAGAAGTCATGCAGATAATTTTGCTTCGTTAAATAATGTTTGAAACAAGCAAAATTATCTGGCAGTATTCTTATAACAGAGAAAGTGGATTTAAGATGTTTTCACTTGTCATATATATATATATATATATATATATATATGACGTTTTTCAGTTTTTGACATAATTTGAAAATGCCTGTTGCTCTTTACATTGTGTGTAAATTTCATGATGAATGGGCCAAAAGAAACGACCCAAAATGACTTGGAAGAAAATCTGGTTCCATTGACTTACATTAAAAGTAAAGTATGTCTTTTCCTTCTCCTGTAAAGTTACCATTTTGGAGATACAAGGTTTTCTTCAGACAGCAGCGCTATATAAATACATACACACACATGCTTTTCACTTTTCCAAAAAAATATTTAAAAAATAATTGCATGTGTTGCTGTAGCTCTGTAGCTGTAAAGGAGCTTAATAATGCCATATATGTTAGACATTATATTTATACTTGTAAAATACAGGTTATGAGTAATGTAATTTCAGAGAATGTTTGGACATTAGTTTCATTCAAAAATCAAAAATCACATTTTTATTTCCTTTTTTCAGTACAAAAGGTACAAATACATTAAACACCCGTCCCCAAAACATACAAAAAAGGATTTATCCAACATTTAAAAACTGTAGCACTTAAAACCTACACCCCCCTGTACAAATGAACCAAAATGGCTTTGACATCCTTGTAGAAGAAATGATTTCCTAAGTGTTTCTGTGCGTGCAACATATTTTCCCATCCTAGTTCCAAATGATTCTCAGCATCGGCCAGAATTTCTCAAGCTCTGAGGAAAAAGCTATGCGTACCACCAGCTCTCCACTTTCTGAGACGGAGGAAAAGTGAGACGTTGTGATGGGGATAATTCTGCTGGACTGACGTATCATGCTGGACAGCCTTCCAGTCCTGAAGTGTGGCTTCTACAGTGTACGCAGTTTTGGGAAAACTCTGGGACGTTTAACAAAACGGGGGTGGAAAAATATCTGAAAGCCCTTCGTAGCAGTAAACTTCAGGAATACACTACTTTAAAGGTAAACTGCAGTGTTTTTCCAGCCTAATCTCTGTCTGTGCAATCTGAAGCATACATACAGTCGATTACCACAAACAATAATATCAGTGCTTCTCCTGTATTTAGTAAAACAACAAACAGCTTCACTCAAAGCACTTATAATAGAGGTCAGTAGGCTGGCGCTGACCTGTACTGGCTTCTATTTTAAAGGGGAACTCCACTGATTTGGCAAAATTACTGAATCCTTGTAAAATACAGCTTCACTCACCTTGTAAAATACAGCTTCACTCAAAGCACACTTATAATAGAAGTTGGTGGGCTGGCGCTGACCTGTACTGGCTTCTATTTTATAGGGGAACTCCACTGATTTTGAAAAATTACGGAATCCTTCAACGGTCTAGATGTAAATAAAATCATTCAGAGTGGTTTGGTGTGAAATGTGCCTTTCTAGAGAAGTTTACCGAGTCAAAATGGTTCACCATTGTAGTACTAGGAACCAGACGTCATTATGTCAACAACACAAATATCACCATTTGCTATCAAAAATGACCAGTGAGCTTAAATGTGTCTTTTAATGGGTTTTATATGTTGCACTGATAATCGTAAAATAGTGCTAAAACTATTTTTTTCCTTACAACGCCCTGCAAGTACCTCTCTGCCCTGCACGCCTTTTGAGTGAGTAACGTTATTCATCAGAGGAGCTACGATAGACCACAGTGGCACCATTCTGGGTGATTGTTCAGAGTGCTGGTGAACTGCACTGTATCAGGATGCAAAAATGAATGGAGAAAATAGAGTACAGTGCATTCTTTTTCAGTTGCCATT